TCGATGAAAAGAGTTTGTAAATTAACCGAAACTTGATTAATTCGTTCGTGGGTTACCAATTTCCAATTTTTCATAGTAAAAATTTCGGGACCATTGCATCATTTAATTTACTGTAATATTATATTTTATGTGTATCATACAACTAAAATTATTTTTTATGTAGTTTATATACATACATTATTTTATAAAATTTGTTAATTAACATTTTATACCATTATTATGGTAGCATTCATGCTGCGTCTCTTATCTATAAAAAACATAATGAAATCACAATTTCTATTTGTTGCTTATTTATTTAAGATAAGGCAACTTTATTAATAAGACTTTTTCAATTTGCTATTTATAATTTACCATTATGATCTTTAACTTTTATTGTGCCTGCATCTGTTTATTATTTTCTGGCTAATTTAAAAAATGATCTTTGCCGTTCGAAAATAGCAAAAAATACTGGAGTACTTAAATAAAATTTAATATTTTTTCATTTATGAAGATTTACATAAAGATTTTAATAATAAAAAATTAAAAAAATAATAGAATTACAAAACTAGAAACTGCCTGACTTTAGTCAATTAATGAATTATTAATTATTTTTATTTTTATATAAGAGTATAGTTTTGATTTAGTTATTATTTATTATCTTTATTCTATATATTGTATTTTCATATACATATATATGTATATATGTATATTAGACACTAATAATTTATTATTTCTTTGAATTTATTTTTACTTATTAATATTAAAAGTGATATTTGCTTTAAAATGATTTATATTATCAAAATATTTACTAATACTTTTGATATAATATTTATATTGTCATATATACATATTGCAAATAAAATTCGGGAAAAATTGTTCTAAGCGATCTTATGATTACATACACGCACACGAATTAATAAAATTAAACAAAATTTTAATTGATTCTTAGTGCTGGAAAAATAGCATTTATAGGAAAAAAATTACATGCTTGGATACATTATTGATTTATATAAATTTTGAAAAATTTTTGTATTTATTTTATTATTTTAAGATAAAATATCTTTGTGATAAAATTTGGCTTGAACCATAATTAATTATAAAATTACAAAATCTTTTATCATATAATTATAATTTATCAGTTTATTTTTTTATTATATTATTCTTATGATTTTTATATATATTATTCTGATGTCTTCCTCTATTAATAAAAGTAAATGTAAATGTTTATTGTATTATGAAAAATGCACACAAATGCTACCTCCAGTAATTTTTATTTTTAAATACAGTCATTTAAATTATATAAAGCAAAAAATGAAAAAACAATATAATTCTTTCAAATAATATAATGTTTGATTTAATTATTATTATAATATTAATTGCTTTCTTTATATCTGATTATAAAAGTAAGATGTTTATTTTATTTTAATAAATCCTTTAATTTTTGTTAATTATTAATTAATTATTTTGTTTCTCATACTTATTTAAATAAAATCATTAAACTTAAATAAATAAAATGATGTATTTACTCTAATATGTTAATATGTAAATTTAATAAAATCTTTCAAATGATATATATATTATTATATATATAAATTTAACTAATTTTGAAGTCAATATGAAAATTTATATAAATATTTTAATATTTTTAATATATTTTATTTCATAAAATATTTGTATGCATCACTGTATTAAGGATAATCACATTACATTATTACTATTTACCAAGCATGTATGCAATATGAGAGCTAAAATATGTACGCATTTTAAGTTTTTCATGACATTTTTAATATTATATGAATTAAAAATAGTAATATTAAAGAATCATTAAATTTGATAAAAACAAAAATTTCTAGCAATATTATATTTCATAGTAATTCTTAATTGGTAACCGTTTTTTTTTTAACTTTTTCATTTAATTTGATCAAATAAATATTCATAATTTTCATCCATTGTCTATAAGGAGAAGAATAATTTCTCCATAAATCAAAGATATTTTAAGTTAAAAACAGCACTAAATATTTAAGTGTGCGACAGAATAGAGGCAGCTCGGGCAGGTATTATCTATTATGTTATCTGCATTACATACGTGTACGTATATGTATATATAGATATTTTATAAATACATGTAATAGAATGATACAGTTGCAGTTATCGCGATACTCTAATGAAAAAGACTAAAATGAATACAAAACCAGTACATGCATTTCGTATGATGCGGCAGATCAATCATGCTTTTTACAATGAAAGACAATTCGTATTTTAATGCTAAGAGTTACAGTGCATTTGATTCTTTACCAAACACTGTCGATTTGCGCCTTTCAATTTTGATATACTTTTAAATGAAATGAAGTATTGTATAAGATTAAGAATATAACTGAATATTGAAATATGTTTGAAAGATGGAAACAAACAAATTACGATATGTTAATTAAGAAATTTAAAATATAGAAAAATAATATGTGTATGCATAAAAAGGATGTGTTATCATAAATTGAATAATAATAAAATATAGCTTGTATTTTGTTTGTATACATCTTTTCTGTTATATTTTATTCTATTTAGTACTTAAATAGAAAATATAGAAAGTAAAGTTTCAAAATGCAAAATTATAAATTGTAATTTTCAAAATTTATAAAAATTTATAATAAAAATCGTTTTCGAAATTGCGATTAAAAGAGCATTAATTTTAATCTGGAAGAAAATATACTATTATATTGATTTATTATGATTGTAATATTTATATATATTTAATATTAAAAAAATATTTATTAAATATTTTTTATATATTAAATATATATAAATATTTAAATATTTCTGTATTAAAATTGCAATGTAGATAATTTAATTTTCTGTTCTATTATGATATATGTATATGTAAGCAAACAAACAAAATTATAGATAATGTAGAATTAATAGAGCATATCAGAATAAAAAAAATCTTAATAGTTTGTTATATAATATATAGTTTATATATAATATATTGAAATATAGTTTTATTATAAAGTAACTTGCTCGAAACCGGTTAATTGCTTAATAAGATTACATATTAATTTGACTTTGTTTTTAAACAAGACAAGAAATTCGAAATAGTAGCAAAAATAGTAAATAAATCAACAATATTGTTTTTCAAAAACGAATAGAATGACATTTCCTCTATGTTACTAAATATTAAAAATTTATAGCTTTTCGCTTTCAATGAAATACACTACTTTTTTACTTTTGGATTTCTTATTTCGCGAATTTCAAACAAGAAAGAGAGGAATGAGTTGCTTATTTTGAGCCATAAAAAAATTGTTTATAAAGATCATAAAAAAAAAAATTAAAAATTAACAATATAAATGTATAATTTTTGCAATATATTTTCTTCAAGATTGAATGTTAATGAAACAAAATAAAAAAAATTAATAAAATAAATTTTAAAACAAATTATTTAAATAATCATAATTTTTTTAATTTATATAATTGTAATAATGTACATTATATTTCAATGCGTAAAAAAAACTTTTAATAAATTATTCACAAGATTAATGCTATAGTGTAGAAAATTCATTGTATGTAAAAGTTTAAGAAAAAAAATTTACAAAGTAATAAAACATAATACTTAACATTTCATATTGTATAGTATACATATCGTACTTATTTATGCATATCGTAGTAGATACTATAAAAAATATTAATGTCAGAACAAAAAAGTGTGTAAATTCGTTTTCTGTATTAAGAAATATTTGAATGCTCAGTAGAATTGTATGTAGAAATAAAAAATTATTTATGAACATAGTACAATGTAAACATATCGTAATTGTACAAAGAATAAACAATATATCTAAAAACTAATATTGCGTATATTTATATTTGAAAATAAATTGTTACGTTTTATGATAATATAAAATCAATAGTTCAAAAATCATTTTTTAATTATGAAATTATAAATATTTTGCAATTATTTAATTATTAAATAATTAAATGTAAAAGGTGAAAGAAATAGAAAATTTATAATTTAATTTTCTTAAATATTTATAATATTCAGCAATATAGCATTACAAATGGAAATTATTTAATCAAATAGCCTTTTTTGAACACTAATATAACAAAATTTTTAAGTTCGTACATAACAATGATACAATATTATAACTTTTTAAGTAATAAATATAAGTGCGCGCATGTATGTTTTATAATATGTGCGTATACGTGTGTAATAAAGTATTGCTGAATAAATTCCATGTTATATCATTCATATAAATATAAAATAAGATTACATATGTATATATTTATATCAACCTAAACAGAAAAAAAGTATACAAAATATAAATCTATCCAGGATTTATTTGCAATATAAAAACTAACTTTGTTGAAAAATATGTATGTACACATGCAGACTCGTTTGTTCATGCCGATAGCGAAAAACTTAACAACATATTCACGACAAAACTACGATATATTTCTCTCACTGGGTAACTGATATAAATTTTTATCTCTTTTCTATATTTTTTTCCCTGGTTAATTTATCACAAGTAAAGAACGAACAACATGGGTCATAGATCATTAATGATCTTTTTTTATATATTATTTTTTCTCTTATCCATGTTTTCTTTATCTTTGAGAAACTTCGCGTTCGGCAGTAAAATATATATCAAAAATGTTCAACATACGTTTATAAAAGACAAACTATCTTACGCACTCTCAAAAAATATTATTAAATATATAGGATGATTTACAACATCATGTGATAAAGAGCAACAATATCATATATATATATATATATGTATATATATATATATATTTAAAACATCAAAATCAAATTTCAAATTTTATTTTTTTATTTCTTTATCTATCAAAAAAATTAAATGCATCCAATAAACTTAGTTGTGCGATATTTAAATTTTATGATTTTTTTTTTGATATTATTACTTGTATTTTTATCATTTTTTTTTTTTATAAATGAAAAAAACTTAAAAAAGTATTTAATATAGCATTTGTCAAAAATTCATATGTTTGTGTGTATCGAAAAAATAAATCACAGGCGCTGTTCTGTGTCCTTTATTTCATCCCGTTTACAAAAGTGGGAGTCCTTTTTTTATATTTTCATTTACAAGATTCGAAATGAAAACAAAAGAAACGCTTAAAAATTCTATCATTTTTTCCCATGACGCGAAACGTCCTGCGTATAAAGCGTAAGATAACGTTTTATATTCATATATCTTACAAATACATGTGCACATCACATGATTGCCACCGAGTAACAAAAACTCGAAAAACTGGAATTTCAAATCAGTGGTATTCATTGTCACGATCATTTTTCAAATTAATTCATAAATAATCTTAAATTTAATCATTTTTATTACATTATTATTTATAAGAATACCACTGCTTTAAACTATTTTATTTATAACTACAGAAATAACAAATATTTATCAAAATAGATGTTCAAAGATTAATTCTTCTTTTCAATAATATGCAAATTCGTATGCTCTTTGTTCCTAAAAAAAAAAAAAGTGAAAACCTATATACGAGTGTACATAAAAGAATTTGTTTATAACAAAAATATTAAGATCTTCATTGCATTAAAGGATGGAAGCATGTAATAAAAAGATATTTCTTTTTTCTTTTTTAGAGAGCTATATGAAAACTATCTTTGCACTGCAAACGATAAGAACGTTCGAAAATGTTGAACATTATTTTAAACATAATTCCAAAAAAACATTATCGAACACTTATTGTGCGACTAACTTAAAAAGTGAGCTAATTAATTAACATATTCTTGTCGAGTATCCCGATTAAATGGATATCAATTCGACAATAATTTCTTTTTTGGTCCTATTTGCCGATTCTACAGAGCTCGCCATCGGCCATTAAAAGCATTTTATCATTTTTATCTATACTGTCGGATCGAAAGGCCTAATATAATTGAGTATCATAATTTCATTTCCCACAGAACAATGTGTGCATCATTACTATTAGGATCTTTAAAAGTATAACCTGATTTAGAACCTTTATCAGTAATTGATTGCGCATTTAGTTGTCTCCAATTGATATAACCTCGACCACCCATCAAAGTTAAAACAGTTCGTTTAGGCTGTTCTATTTGTTGTAATGTCTTGTTGATTTTTTTAGTATTTGTTTTTATATTATTATGTGGTGGTATCGTTTCCGGTACAGATTGTCCTATACTACTGTTGGGAGTGGTTGTTTCATAAGGGCCATTTCGACTAGCTGTACTACTATTTCGAGACAATTTACCAGTTTTTAATGAGAGATTTTCTTCTGAGCCCGAAGACGTATATAAAGAACTTGTATGAGAATCGACAGACCAATTTGATAAATCAAGCGACCTAGGTCTAGTGATTTTCATTTTTAATCTACGATCTAAGGTACTAACTTTATTTGGTATGGCTGCCAGTTCTGGATCGCTTCTTCTTAATGGTTCATAAATTAAATCAATGCCAGAGTTATTCTCGTTTTCGTAATCCTTCACATACATCAATTCTCCATATAAACCATATACGTCGCAATTTTCTCCAGAACTGTGTGATCCGGACATAGAATTTGAGAGAAATCCTCCACCAGAACCGAGTCCTCTAGGAAGTGTTTTTGAACCTCTATTCTCATATTCTTTACTACGTTTTCGTCTCAACATCACTGGACTACCTGCCAATTGTTGCTTCAATTTTAATATACTATTCGATGTAGAGGAATCTAAACTTGCTCGGTCTCTGTTTCTATTATTATCCGATTCTTTTGATCTCAATTGTATATTTTCCTCATCATTAATTTCATCAGTTGTACAATTTATCATATTTCTTGGATTCTGAATAGCAAGTAAAAAGGTAATAGGACCGAAATGTGCGTGATATGAAATATTGACTCGGCCACTAATAATAGGTACACCTTCTAATCTCGGTAAAGGAATTGTCAAACTGATGCCTACGTTTGTACCCACCCAAAGTAAACCCTTACATGCTAAAAGTGCTGTCACAGTAACGGTAGTTTGATTATTATTTAAGTTGTCACCACAAGAATTCGAAGCATTCGATCTTGTTACTCTCAATACATTGGATGCAATGTTGATATCCTGCAGATGTTTAAAAGTTTCTGTATGATATAGACAGACAGTACTTGAATTCTTAAGAGCAACCCAAAGACCGACTCCAGAATGAGCCATTAGTTTCACACTACCAACATGTTCGTGTTGAGCGCTAAAGCTTTTGGTAACATCGCCATTAACTGCGTTAAGTACCCAAACTTTTTTGCCGCAAGCAGCATAGACAGATGCATTGATTGGCATCAAGCAAGATACTGATTCACTTCCTAGAGATATTACAAATGGATCTTTAAGATTCCAAGTGCCGTCCATTTGTCTTTTAAAGAGTAGAAGCAAACCAATTCCTAGGGCAACAAAAACATTATCACAATGATATTTGATTTGTATTACTGGACCAGCAACAGAATAATTTCCTAATTCTTCTTGCTTCTCAGGTTCTAAGGCGGCATAAATAATAATTTTACGAGAATCTGTACCCATCCATACAACTTCTCCTGCTAATGACAATGGATCGGAAGAGATACCCTTTACGAATTCTATAGCGGCAACTTTAGTTTCTACTAAGTCAAAAGTCGTAATTTGTTTTAAGGAGGTGGCTGAGGCTGTCGTTGATTGACCAAATACTGTTACATGACTGGATATACCGTCTCCTGTACATATCCATAAATAACTTTGACTTCTACCACGGCGTCTTGTAGGTCGTGGATTTTGCGTGGTGTAATAGCAACCGCAACGTACCTAAAAAATAAATAAATTATTGTTTTGTGAATTTTAAAGATAATGAAAAATAAAATATTTTTTGCATTAAATATCTTACTTCTGTCTGATGTTGCGAATGATATACTTGTTGAGAACTAACAAAAAGCGGCATTTTGGTAGATGGTCTTTGTTCTTGTTCAGGTACTTCCCAAGATGGCGAATTATTTGGATCTAAGGCTAATTGTGCTAATCTAAGTTCCGTTATCCAATCTTTTTTCACTAAAGGATTTTCAGTTTGAAATGTGTACATTTGTCCTTGTTTTGTTACTAATTGTAAGCAACAACTATCTGCCCAAACCATATCTTCATCTTTTTGTTGTATTGAAAGTTGTATAGACTGTAGAATTTGTTTAGTTTTTTCAAGCGTCATTCCCTTTAAATTCAATATTTTTAATTATAAAGATATAAAAATAAAATCATAATCATAATTCATAATTTTAGATAATTTTTTTTTACTTACCTCGTATTTACCTTTCAATTGTGCAATCAGATCACTTATCCTAGACACAACCTCATAATCATGCATTAGATCATTCATTTCTACGCACAGATTATCTGCACCTGCTTGTCCGCAATCTCCGCTTTTATCAGATTTTAGACTACCACCTTTATTTAGACCAGCAGTCAATAAACGACTTAATGTGGGTGAAGTGCTTGTATCCTGAATCTATAATATAATGTATTATATTATTGATTATTATTGTTTATTTTTAAAATTATTTTAAAATTCTTATACCTCAATATCCGATACAGGATATGTCCACTTCAAAGTTAGTCTTTCACTACCACTAAAATCTTCTGCAGATCTTGGGGTCACCGAAACACATACTACGAGATCATTTAAAAGTAATAACCTTCTTCTTTTTGATTTTGTTATCATGCCATTTTGATTAAATTCCTAAAATTATTTTTCATAATATAAGTAAAAAATTACATTACATTACATTACATTATAATATTTAGAATTTTATTAAAAATTTTACTTAATTTTACTTACTAACTGTGTAACATTATCTTCTCTTATTAAATACCTAGATGAAGATGAAAGAGGACGATGAGACAGTTTTCCAGATACATGTCGAAGCATTTCTTTAAATGCTTGGAATTGTTCTGCTTCTCGTTTTCTTTCATTCAACATTTCTGCTAAACTTTCTAATTGAGTTAATGCCAATTGCAGCGACATTCTATCATGATGACCTTGGGGTGTATGTTTCAGTAAATCCTAGTAAAAATTTTTCAATCATATTAATATTGTGATTGAAATTAAAATTAAAAAATACTTACTTGTAAGAATAATATAAACTGTGGAAATCTTTGTACAGGTTTTACCATTAATCCAAAAAAAGATAATCTGTCATGTGCACTTATTTGTTTCACCTGAAATATTATCATATCTATTATAATATGATTAAGAACAAGTATTGTTATTTTCAGTTATACCTTGAAAAAATCAGCAAGTGCAGTCTTTCTTTTTGATTCTTGTTTAGCCAAATCCATAGCTACTGAAAAATTATTTATAAATCCACTATAAATATCAAGAACGATAGCCTTGCTGAAACTTGCTACAAACACATCTCCTAACTTTTCGTCTTTATCCCATGAACGTACACATTCCGCTAATGCAATTCTAAATAATGTATGACATTGCAGAATTTCAGGTAATCTATGAAACAATGTTGCTATTTTTGCCTGACTCAATATAGGTGGCGAGGATTCCTCTAATGGTTTCTTGTAATCCTGAAATGAAATATTTTTAAATAAAATTTCTGGAAAGAATTTTATGTGCCATAATTTTAGCTAATACGTACATTTACTAGCCTCTGTAATGTAGACACATAACTATTTTCAGAGTGTACTATAGCGGCTACTATATGTCGACGTTTTAATTGTTGAGGAGTTAAATTCGAAGGTGTTGGAGGAAGAGCGGGTGGAGTTTGTCTACGTTGCTGCATACATTGAAATTGTACCATTGCGCTATTTTCTTCTTCAATCTTAATTAAAATTATACATATATGTATTAAATTTATATATTATCTTATGTATAATAAATATACATATAATAATATAAATTTATATAATAATAATAATAGTTTTTGATTATTCTTTTATTAATAATAATTATTATATATTATTCGATTTTTTTTCAAATTTTTATTTTATATCATTAAAAAAAATTTTAAGAACAAGAGGTATAGTGTAAAAATTAAAAATATTAATTATTTTAATTATTAAAATATAAAATAATTTTTTATAAAAAGAATATGTATCGAAATAATTTTTGGATAATTACTTCACAAAGTTGCGGCATTTGGGGAGTTTTGATCGGACTGGTAAGGGATACCGTGTCGCAAGAATCCACATCATATTGTTGCGTTGATCCTCTCCGGATGCTGAACCATCTAGATAGTCTTCCATGATTTCCGGGCGAATCCAATGGATCAGCATTGTTCACTCGCATATTTTGAGGTCTCCACTTGTCGCATAATGTCCTTGCTTTGTGCAATGTGTTCCTCAATTGGCAATTACTTCTATAGAGAATTAACAATCGTTTCGATATATGTGTCTTGATAAGAATATCACTGTAGGAAAGTTCAATGATTGATTTGTTAAATTAACAATAATTTAATAATTATATTCAATCAATTAATTCGAATCATGAACTTTTTTATTAAATTTAATAATAAAAAATTGAAATTATTAGAAAAAAAATTTATAACTTTGTTTTTCAGAAAATACTTAATATATATAAAATTACATTTTTTTAAATATATTATAAAATTCTGTTTTGAATATTAATAAATATTTGGATTTTTTTAATTTAATAAATTAAATGTAAAATAAATGTAATTAAAAAATGTTTTTTATAAGCATTTATTATCAAAGTTTATATATTCGATTATATTTGTAGTGCTTACTTAATACTGATATTACTCTTTTCACTCTCATCATCCGAAGAAAGGTCATGGTCTGAAGCTGAGCACCAGGAATCCTCACTTCTAGCCGACTGTGTTGAAGTATTGGATCTAGTTGCCTCCAAAGAGGGATGGTGTTGTCTATGCGTTTGGCCGACTGTTTCCATTTTAGTCGGTCCTACGTCATCCCATGATCTGCACCTTGAACGTGGTTCATCTGAAATTAAATGACATAATCTTAGTCTCAAATTAGTCTAACTTAAGCATCTGAAATTAAATGATATAATCTTAATTTCAAATTCTAATTTAAGCATCACTATGAAAAACAATGAAAGATTGAGAAAAAAAATATTATTAATAAAAATATCACTTTCAATATAGTTCTATTTTAATTAAAAATTTATCAATATAATTCGTATTATTCAATTATTCAACATATTAATATATCTTTTTTCAGTTTTATTTATAAAAAATATAAACATTATTAGAATTGTTTACAATAAATTTCAGCATTTATCGATAATATTATCTTATTCTCGAAAATTATTATAATTGATACAACATTTTCACAAATACGAATTATTTTTTGTAATTTTTTTTTAATCAAATTTATCAAATAGTATTATTGAAAAACTTTCTTATAGAGAAAGATGTTCGAACTAAAAGTGGATCACATTATTATTCTCTCTGTATATAACGCTCTCTCTTCTTACTTGTTAGACATCATTAGTCGTAGCCATTGTTTCTAGTTCAATGAGTATGATACTTGATAATTAAGTCGAGAAACTGATCCCAATATTTTCATCAAGAGTAATTTTCAATGCATTGTATCTGTAAATTTATTTCATTTTTCAAGAAAATAACTAGTTTCATAAAAATAATTATTGGTAAAGCGAGAAAGGATGCTATTACAAATCTGATGTTAAACTAGTACGAGTTTTGTAAGATCGTTCGTTAAACAACCTCCTCGAGATCAAGACAACTCATTTCCATACGCCTCTTAATACTAACTATATTTTTGTGAAAATATAGTTACGAAACGTGTGACGACAGTCTCTATTTATATAATATGTGTCAATCGTTCGAGATTTGATCACCCTTCTTCGAAAGTCAATAAGATCTTTAACATCGATTATATTTAAAAATCGATCATGTATTTCATGATATCTATTATTCTTAATTTTTCTTTTTTTCTTTTAAATAATTAATTACAACTAAATTATTTACTAGTAAAAATAATATACAAAATCTTTAAGATTATTCATTTCATAATTATTCATTTATAAATATATTTTATTTCGTACGAAATAAATATTCATACGAAATTGTATTTGATCTTTCTATCAATTTATTTTTTTATCAATATTTGCATTTTTTATAATAGTTTTTCAAATATTTGCTATTTATTAATGGAAGAATACCAAATGCGCATCGAGTTCATATCGATTATATTACTAAACTTTTAAACTTGCTATGAACATGTTTAGAAACAATATAAATGAAGATAAGGGTGCGCAAATGAGTCACTTCCTCAAAGTCATAATATTTTATTTTATAGTTTTACTTTTAATCTATTACTATTCGCTAAAAAAATATTATTATTTCGAAACGCGGCAAAAATATATATATATAATATAATATAAATATATATATATATATATATATATATATGAAACAATATACTTGATCATTTATGAGGTTTATCCATGACTGTCCAGTTATGCGTTTGTCATCTATCCAATTAGCAATCATTTGAGTTAAATATGACTTGGTACGTTCCCACGTTTTAAAGATAAGCACACATATAGTCAATGTTTACACATTTTCTCATATGTCAGTCAAGACTTGATTTCTATATTCACTTTTCATTCTACAGCTTTCAGTTGTAACATGTAACAATATCAAATTTTTTAAATACTTCATTTCTTGTAAAAAAAGATAAGAAATATAAAAAAAAAATTAATCGTTTATTCTTATTATTATTCATTTTATTGTAATATTTTTTAATGTATTGAAATATATTTATATTGAAATATATTTGCATCTTAAATGATGACAAATATTTGATCGAAATAGGTTAGAACATTTTACAGAATATTTTTTTTTTATTTATCATATTTATTTGATTATATTTATATAATTTGTGCATTTCTCATAAAATGCTTAAAAAAGATCCAATAGGAAGTCAAATTCGCTTAAAATCAACCAAACATGTGAAAACATATACATTTAGTTTATAAATGTGAGAAAAAGTATATGAAACGCAGAACAACTCGTGTTAACAATATAATCATCCTGATGTTAACACCGAAATAACTTGAGTGCAGCTCGCACACCGGAAGGTCTAATAAAACCAACAACGCATTGAACCTACCACTTCCGCACAGGGGAAGATCAACATCATATATTCTAATTATCAGAAAAAGAATTCTAAGTTCAAGTTCAAAAATTATCAATATTTTATAATATAATAGACTATATATATATATATATATTTCATTTCATAAATAAATTAAAAAATTTCTAAAAATAATTCAGTAATAACTTTGTATATATATATATATATATATATATATATATATTAAAAAATCAAAAATTTAGCTATGTATGATTTACCTGAAGTATGGTGCAATTTTATTTCAAAAAAACAATTTGTTCCTTAGTTTTTATGATATAATTTTCTTATAAGTTAATGGTATTTTTTGAAATATATTCGTATTAATCTTTATCTTCCAATTATCCTATTAACTAAGAATCATAATATAAAAATCTAAATTTAATATTCATAAATTCATGACCTTTTTTTTTCTATTTTAAATCAATGTGCAATATTTTGATATTTATCCTATTAAAACATGTGCAAGTGAAACAAGGATATTTAGTATTCGAAATAAGCAATTTCTCAAGTATTCAATGATGATAATTTAATTGATGTATTATAATTTGCGTTAACAGTATCAAACTACTTATAAAATAAAAAATTATTGCATTATTAAATATTCAAAAATCATGTTATATCTTTTTATATTTATGAATCACTTAATTTTATATTTATAAAGTAATATGCACCAATTCGGTTCTCTTTGGTTTTTCAAAGTTTTTTGATTAATAATAAAATAAATACATACATATTTATACACATATATTTTCTCAGAAAGAAATAGTTTTTATACAATTAAAGAAAATTCTAGTGCATTTGCATATTTTTTTGTATCGCTTGAAAAAACATTCTTTTTCTTCTTAATTGAATTAATATTACGAATATCATTCAAAAAGGAAATGAATTTCATACATATAGTATATATATTCTATATAAAACTATTGACAATACTGCCATATTTTTCTCTACGTTGAACGCGTCATATATTGCAAAGATTTTTTATCGTTAAAGAATTATATAATTAACGTATCTGTGACTACTGATATTTATTTAAAATTTCACCTTTTAACCTCTGAATTTAGCATATTTGATATATAATTGCTCACGCTGTATGAATATTAATATATATAACACGTCAATGAATTCATCACAAATATCGAGTTACATAGTTATATTCATCTATGCTTAAAAATTAAATGAATAAATTAGTTGAATTACAAAAAAAAAAAAAAAATACTATTTATTATATCTTTGATATGAAAAATAAGTTATGTATCATCTTCAGTTAAATATTTATATTTGCATTAAGTTTGCATTGTTGATACGTAACATTTTTTTACCAATCGAAACTTTAAATTTATATCTTAAATGGAGAATTAATTACTGAATATTCATTATGAAGCAAATTGCATAATACAACACATATAATTTATTCAAATTATATGCATTGATTCATTAAACATTTGTAACTTGCAATATGGCATGAATATTGCAATAGATTCGATCGATATATTCGATCGTCTTTTGCTAAGATCTATGATTCAGAAAAATACGGAGTATCATCTTAAAAACTACTCTGTATAATTTTGATTATTTCTCGATTTTTAAACATTTGTTTTCTTTTTATCATTCATGATCGTTATCTAATTTTTAGAATTTAAAATTAATAGAATTTTCTATCTGCTTAATAATATAATATATCCATTAAATATATCCACGAATGAAATTATGATAGTAATAAATGTATTTAATATTCTGTACGAATCTTTTGAAAACAATTGTATTATAGTATATACTACAATGTTATTAAATAAAGTGATGCATACGAATTATGTTTTTACAACAGACGATAAGATCCTCTAAGGATATATTTATGTAGAATGTATCGTAAAGTATATAGCACGATATTGCGTCACTTTTTTATAAATAATAAAAACAAAAATAAAGATATATAAAATATTATATCTTGAAATGAATATTTAAGTTCAATAGTTTTTATTTGGATTTGTGTTCCATGTCATTTTTATAAAATATTACTTTTTATTAAATTTATATTTTAATTATTCAAAAATGAAAAGCAAAGAACAAGAAAAACATAAAAAAATTTTTCTTCAATAATTAAAAATTATATCGAAATAAAGAAACGATGATTTATTAATCTTCGTGTATGCAATATTATTAATTTGATTTTTATGAAAAATTATTTAAAAAAAAAAAAAAAGAAAAACAATTTAAAGATATAAAGACTATAAAAAGTTATATATTCAAGATGAAAACATCATAAACAAAAAGGACACGATCTTTATGCTATATTCTTTCTTCTCACTAACAGGAAATCGCCACAAACGACACATAACGCATTCAGAATGTTTACTCAACACGTCAATCCGGCATCCAGAGACTGATATACCGTCTTGCTTTTATGACTCCGAGTATCTCATCCGAATTAAAAAAAAAAAAAAAAATAAATAAAAGCAGTAAACTGAGATTTCAATTAATCTTATATACACGGAAAAACATAAATTTTAATTTTTCATAATTACAATATGAAAAATTCAATTCTAAGATTTAATACGCGATTTAAAAATTGACTATAATTTTTTATAATTTCCAGTTTTCCAATGGAGCTTTTGAATAATAATATGAGTTCTCTCTTTTTGGTGATAATTTCAATTTACAAATTCTCTAGCAATAAGATCGATGCAAAAACGTAAGAACTATTTTATATTGTAACATATGTGCATGCAAATTTATTAATTAATAGAAACATAATATTAATTTAAAGTTTCAGTTCAAAATATCTATGATATGCAATACAAAAATAAATAAATAAATAA